CATCCTGCTGTTCATCTGCTGACTTGGCAGCTTCACCAAGGCGGTGGACATACATCGATGCTGAGCATTGTTCCCAAACCGGAACGCCGGCTGCTCATCAGGAAGAATCTCGATCGGGTCCTCGCCGGTGGCCTGCCAGTTCAGCTCGGCAACCTTCTGAACAGCCTCTTCTGATCCCAGGCTACTGGTAGCGCCACCATCAATGATAGCGTGGCCAGAGTCGAGAATCTCGTGCAAGGCCATGAGATTCTCCTCTGGCTCCTGAGTGGCACTGTTGCCATCTGGCTCCGCAGCTGTCGTCACATCAGTTGCAGAAAACACAAAGTGCACTCGTTGCTCAGACTGGCCTCCACCTGTGGCTTGGGGGCAATCCCTGCGCATGTGGTTGCCGCCGCACCTGAAGCACTTGATGGGAGGTCGTCGTCCTTGTGTTGTCTGCTCACTGTTGTTCTTGTTCGGGAAGAAGTTGCGGTTTCTGCGCATTTGTGCTTGCTTTTCTCGAGCATCCTTCAAGGTCCGTCGAGCATCCTCCAGGGCTGCTAAGGCCTCCTGGGCATCATCCTCCAAGGCTTGGTAAGCGAAACCCTCCTCGGGATTGTCCCAGTCTGGAACCTCAGCCTCCTCGTGCTCGTAGTCCTCTGTCATGAAGGCCCCCTCGTCGGTTGCAAACATAGCTGCGTTTTTGCCGGAATCTCGTTTCCTCAACTCCTCATCTGGCCAGGTCAACTTCAATGCATCCTTCACCTTGGTGATGGTGAAGTTGTTCCGCAGATTTGCTGATAACGCTTTTCTCTGTAGCATCCAGGCCTGACCGCTGTAAGAGGAGCCACGCGATCACAAAGTCCGGCAAGAACTTGTCAGACTGTGCAGACGCTGCTTCTGATGCGTCCCAGCTGACCCTGCTGCCTGCTGGAAGCTCCTTGGTGCGAGGAGCGTCCCCACTGGCCTTCTGACTGAGACCGCCGATCCCAGTCCCATGAGTTCCATCCATAGGACCACCACTGATCATCCCAGGTCTCCGATGCTCGTGAGCCTTCTGGCCCCTCCTCTTCTTCCTCATTGGTCTCCTCGAGGTTCTCCTCGAAGTGCTCCTCATCGGGGGCTCCCCGTTCGGAAGAGCCTGGTGAGCGACTCTTGCCAGGTGTGCGCCATGAGGTAGTCCTGGAAACATAATCTTGCTTGGCTTCAGGTCCATACTCTTGGATGGCCTCAGCCAAGGTCCTCTTTGCCTCCAGCAAAGCCTCATCATGCCGCACAATCCAGCCGGACATTCCTTCGCCACGCCTTCGCTTGATCCCGTAGAAGAATCTGGACATTGTCCTCCCAGCCTCCGCCAGTGTCGGAGCCCGCGCCTGCTGTTTCAAACATGCTAACAGCTGCGAAGCGCCATCCGGATGAGAAATCCAGCCAGGTGCCTTATGCTCCACCACCATCTTGGCGCTGCCCTCCAAGGCAGCTTGCAGCCTGGGACCTACCAGATTTCGTTTCTTCCACTCCACCGTCTCGGCGTAGATCAGCGCGGCTCTCTGGAACGCCACAAACTGCTCAGGCGACCCATCGTAAATCGGCACACCATCCTTTGTGTACCGAAGCCCGGCCATCTCCTCGATTCCACGTCAAGCGCCTTTAGCACGTGGTCTAACAAGGACACAGCGTTGCCCCTGGAGCCTTCTGAAGCCTCTGCCTCAGAACGGCTCCGCTACCATGAAAGCGGGCCGAAGCACAAAGGGTCAAGGCCTACACCGCTCTTCCTTTTTCGAGCAAATGGCGCTGCGACCACTCCGTGCGTGCGCGAGCTCTGAAGCTTCTGTGAAGCTTGCACCCCTAAACCCTAAACCAGGATATCCTAAACCCTAAACCTTGGATGTGCGAAGGCGGGTTATCGAGGAAGCCCCTCGGTGAGAGATGGGATTTATGGCCAGCACCGCGAGCACTTAGAAGCAGCTGCAGTCGCCACCTCCACTGCCAGACTTCGCCTCCCCGGAAATCACTTGTGCCCGTGCCGCCGTTCTCGTCGACAAGGCCTTCAAGGCAGCTGTGAACCTCATGCAGCACCTGAGCTACAAAGTCACCGGTGAGGAGATCGAGAAGAACTTCAAGGCCTGGTGGAGGTCAGAGGGTCATGACATCATGACTCAGGGCGGCGGTGGTCCTCATGATCCTGAGGATGGGGACGACGATGCTGCGGGCATCGGCAGCCTGGATGCTCTGCTTGAGGATGCCGCGGAGATCGACTACGAGGACGTGGATCCTGCTGCGGCTACCCGCCAAGACGACCTGCATCGGATCACCGCAGCGGAAGACCATGCGGCTGTGAAGGCCGAGCTTGCAGCCCTCCATGAGGAGCTTGTCCAGCCTCCATCCGCTGCGCCGGAGGTGCCAGTTGATGCAGGTGCTCAAGTGGTTCAGCACGAGGAGCCCCAGCAGGAGCAGAGGTCCATCGTCGGCTGTGCTGTGAATGCGAAGTCGAGCGGCCCGTCGTTCGAGCTCAACACCACACATGCTTGTTGGCTGAGCTTGCAGCGTGGATGCGAGGACACCGAGACCTTCGACGTGACAACCGTTGATGCCTGGACTGCCGACAAAACGCTGCAGAGGCATCTTAGCCTCATGTCCGCGATGAGGCAATTCTCCTCGTCCGTAAGACAGAGGGAAGGCATCCTGAGTTGAACGGCAGCCGCTGGCATCCAGCCCAAGAGCGACTGGAACCTCCTGCAGAGCCAACTGGCGAAAGGCCGAGCGGCGACTTTGTTGCATGGCGGCCGACAGAGTCGCAGCACTGCTTGGATGGCGGTGCAGAACAAGGCCGAAGAAACCGCCGATGCAGAGCAGCTTGCATTCCGGCCAGACTATTTGCGCCCCGACAGTGGCAAGCACGAGCCACAAGTGATCGTGTATCTGGATGCCCAAAAGAATGTCCGAGTCGGCATGGTGGCCTCGATCTGGCGGGGGCGGTGGTGAAGCCGGATGGATCCGCAAGCCGGCAGATGCGGACTACGCGAGCCTCGCCAGGAGTGCCACCCGTGCTTTTTGTACCTTTGGCCCTACTCCTAAACCCTCAACCCTATAGAATCGATGCTGGCAGGACCACTTCCACTGGCCTCCACTGCAAAGATTAGAGTCTTCCGCTTGGCCCAGGCGGAACCTTGCAAGCTCTTCTGCTGTTGCCTCTCGGAGATTTCCCTGATTGATCCGTTGGACTCGGTGCTCTGCGAGCTCAAGGTGCAAAGCATCGTTCACCTGGACACCAAATGCGTGGTGCGGATGCCGGCAGGTTTCGACGAGGTGCTGCAGGAGATCTCTGCATCGCCTGAGCAATGGAAGGCAAAAAGCAGCACAGCCCAGCAGATCCCGGACGGCCCCGATGAAGTGGCTACCGAGGCCAAGGTGTGGGTGGCAAGCATGTTCACACGGAGCCTCGCCGGGACCAGGTGTATTGAGGAGTACATGGAGCGGCTGCCGAGTGCTTAGGCTGCGGGACTGGCGATCTTGGACGAAAAGGGGGTGTGTGGCTTTGGGCGGCGGAACCTCGATCCTCTGGGACTGTGTGGCGAAAATGGCTTCAGAGTACTTCGACGTGAGTTTTTCGACCGTCGTCGGAAAAAACTACGGCAAGGCTGTGCTCGCCGAGCTGAGCGAAGTGTTCCCTCGAAACCACCAGTCCGTTGAGAAGCTGCAGAAGCTTTGCCAGAAGATCGACTCCGCTAGCTCCCCGGCGAGCCTCGATCTGCACATATCTGCACATCCTGTTCTAGGGGCCAGGGTTCTAAGACGCTTGGAGTTGCTGGGTTTCCTGTTCTAGGGGCGAGGGTTCTAAGACGCTTGGGTTGCTGGGGTGTCGCTTAGACCGCTTAATTAAAAATAGTTCCTCAAGCATCTGAGGCTGCTGATGTGAAGGGCCAGGGGGCATGATGCTGTGCTCAAGGCCGGGTATAACTAAGCCCACAACAATCGTTATTAATTCTTGTCTCCATCCTAAACCCTACAGCCACACAAGCCGTACAACACCCCACCCGTCAGGCGACAGCGACTTCTGGTGCAGCCGACAAGTCAAAGACGTTCGCAGGGGCGAAAAAAACGGCAAGGGGTCAGTGTGAGCCGATGTCGCAGACAGGGTCGGAGTCGTGCAGGGATTAGGTTTTCCAGACACCCACAACAGACGCCAGAGACGAATTTGTCCATTTTCTTTGTGTTGTGGTAGCACCATGTAGCATCAAGCCTACAGCATCCCAAAACCTGTCGACCCCCCCCCCATATCATCCAGCTACATACACAGACCCCGGCAGTACACATGTTGAGGACGATAGAAAGTGGGCCCGTCCATTTTCGACGTCCCTCAGGGTTAAGCCTGGGGGGATCATGGAGTCATTGGAATAATAACTGCTCCAATGCCAATGCCTTCATTTTTTCTAAAACTTTCCTGCTATGCAAGCCGTGCGAGGAAGACCTCGTCATGACATGAGGGCCGCTCTCATGCTTCGGTCATGTGTTGCCGGAAGTTTATATACTCACGAGCAGATCATGCACGTCTCATGCATCGGGGCCCTTCGAGGTTCGCCTCCGCTTGGGACTGATCTCCAAGGCTGTGGGTGCCACGGACTTCTTGCCTCGGAGAGCATCAACGAGTCCCCGGTCTTCAAGGGCACTGTGTTCTTCAGCACGGGGAGCTGCACAGACGAGTCACGTGCGGCTTTGACATGACCCACCTGCATGTTGGCTTGTCGGGGTCTGCTGTGGTTTGCATGACGAATGCCGGGTTGAGGAATCCCGTGTCACCATCGGCTTCGGGCATGGACAGCATGGGCATGAACCGAAAGGCTCGCGAACTTAAGCCAGCTCGAACTGGAAATTGTGCTTCTGCTGGGAGCTCGGTAAAAGATATCGGCATGCTGCTTGGCCAGGGTGTGGCTTCGAAAGATTGCGAGGGCTCGAGTCCTGTAACGTCCTCGACCAGAGTAGGCTGCGGTTTCGGGACAAGTGTGCTCCATTCCTCCTCCAGAAAGCTTGAGAAGCTGACTCTCACACGTGTTCCACTTTGGAGCTGCAACCGCACTTTGCCGTCAGATGCACCGAAAAGCCCACCGGCTTCGTCATCGGCTCGTCGCCGCACGTGGTCGCCCACGTTGACGCCCAATTCCTGCAATGCAGCCACCGGGTTCTTGATGGAGCCGTCCTCGGCAAGCCCCCAAAGGATGGGCATGCTAGTGCCGGAGGTACCGGAAGCCTTCCTTTTCTCCACCTTGGCATCGGCTTCCCATGGCGATGTGATGCTCACCTCATGGAGCATGCCCTTCAGGATCAGAAGCAGGTCGTGTGCCAACCCCTCAGTTTTTCATACTTCTTCTCGCCGGGAATCATCACTCCCAGCACGTGAGCTGCAAGGCTCTCGTCCGCAAACCCTAAATCTGCTGTAGCACGAGCATCGAAAATCCCCCACTGGAAGTGGGGGGGGGGGGGGTCGTATGTGCGGGCCCAAGGGACCACTTCCAATATCGGGGTTGGGCCATCTAGTGCCCAGAATCGAGATCCAATTATGCCCTAGGGGGGGTCAGCGCAACTCACTTCCATTTATTGGGGTTCGGGGTTGCTAATTCAATATATATATATATATCTATATCCGGGAAATGTGAAAAAGTGCGCACTGGGGCGGGACAGGAAGTGGAACATAGTGGGGCCAGTGGTGCATGCAAACATGTGGGGGAACCCTGGATTCTCATCTGGCGATGCATTGTGGGCCGATATATTAAAATAAATATATGCAGTCTCCAGGACGATTGGGCACAGGGCTGACTAGAGGTCGTGCGATTTTGTGTCGCTTTTTTTCGTTGTCCGCAAACATGCATGCACATAGACACACATGCACATACCGTTGGACTGTGCAGACGTGCCTGCGCCCGGCTGTGCCTCGCAGGCATTTTGCCTCGGGATCGAGGGGGGGCATGACAGGGGCTTCGGAACTCAGTTCAGGCTAGGGCACATAATATTGGCATAGCCGCATTGCTTGAAGCCACTAGGACGGCAGGGGGAAGGGGTTGTAAAGCCAGCTTGTCGGCGTTGGGTTTTTTTTACCTCCAGCACGAAAGCCACTAGGACGGCACGGGGGACTGGGTAAGCCACTTTGACGGCATGTGGGTTTATCTTATTAGATCTTACTAGCAAGCCACAATGTCGGCATGGGGGACTGAGTAAGCCACTTTGACGGCAGTGGGATATAAATAATTTAAGCCCGTAGCCTTAAGATTGAAGCGGTGAGTAAGCATGCCTCCTCGACTGGTGCCCAAAAATTTGGCGCCGAGCGATGCTCCTGCCTGCACAGATCCTCCTTCGGAATGCGCCGGGTCCTCACAATCACTGGCTGGTTTTGGGGTTGTGATTTAGCTCGAGCGGGTGCTGGATCCCTTATGGGACACCACGTCTCGCATTTGGAGGGCGAGGCCGTCTTCTCTTTGTCGCCTTAAGCTCTGGCTCTCATTTCATTTCATGCCAGGTGTGCAGCTCTATTCGCTGACGAACAGGGGCGACTTTGCAGAGCATCACATCATGGGTACTGGTCGTCGGTGTCCCGGCCTTTGGGTTTGCTGCCATCGAAAGGGAACTCAGC